AAAAAAAAAAGGACTAACTTCCAACTCCTTTTACAGCAGATATGTAAAACTCTTACACTAAGATTTCAACTTAACACCCATCTTTTCTATAATCTATTAAGTTTACTAATCGTCAAATCCATACACCATAACTTCACTTTTTTCTGTTTCCCGCAAAAAGGCCATAAGGGGCTTCCAGTTAGCATTAAAATTATCCCATGTCTTTTCTCTAATCACGGCTGTCAGTTTTGCCACACTTTTCTGATGAACAGATTTTCTTCAAAGGCAGAAGCTGTTCTCCAGCACGTTGCATCACTGCACAGCCAGCCACGGTTTCACAGGTCTCACAGTGGTACGAGCCAGCCCATCTGGTTAGCTTATGGCTCAGTGGGAAGTGCTGAGCTAGAAACCTGGGTTAACTGAGTAAATGATGGTCCAGGTAAATCATGAGTAAGGCTGTTGTATGAAAAGAGATGCAATTTGTGTTCTGTAGTGCAAAATAGCACCAGTTATGGCACTGGTGGGGGTAGCAAGCTTTACAAGGGCATCCATAAAGGGGGTCAAAAAGTCAAGATGGTGGCCGTGACTGCATGATCCATTTTTTATGGTCATGTGTGTGATGCACATAAAAAGGGGTGGAGCTTTAATCACTACAACTGTTTTTTATGATGGTGATTTTGGACATTCTATTGTTATACTGTATTGATTTCATCATACTGTTATTAAGGTTCTGTTATTGTTATTTGCTGCCCAGAGGCCTTCAGGGTTTTGGCAGGAAGCCAAATGAATAGATAGATAAAGAAATGCCTTAATGTTCCTGCAGAGAAATTGACTTCCCTCCTCAACAGATAAGCCTGTTTAAGACACTAGGGCAGGGGGTAAGCCTCAGAAACATTCCTTGCCGTCACACCCCCGAAGAAAAACAGGGGACCTGTGAACGGAGTCACCAAGGCTGCAGCCATATTCACTTGTCAACCTGGCCAAAGCTACGGGATGGGTGTTCTTGTGGGTGGAGGTTGTTCTCTGAACCCACTTTGTCCCACAGCCCGGCCCTTCCTCTCTTCACGGGCCTGAGAGTTAACTAGTCCAGGAAACAGATGCATTTGGTTCCTTTCCCTAACCCTGTCTTGTTGACCACTGTTGTACTTTTAAATCCCTGCTCAAATTGACCATTTTTCGCCATGGACATAGGCTGCCCTGGCTGCCCCATTTGGTGAGAGTGGAAAGCAGGATCTAAATGTTAGAAGGAGCAACTTGATCGGACGGGTGCAAAGGAATCTTTTAACTCCCTTGGGTGATGCTTTCAGCCAAGAAGATAGCACGGGAAGCTGTAAAGTTGCCTGCATATGTCAGACTTGCTTACAAGAAACTTCATGACCAGAAGAAAAATTATTGTAAGTATCAAGAACTTGAGGCATCACGCCCAACGCATCTGGGGGATGGGAAAGGCAGCTAAGAGAAGAGTTGCTCAGAGAATGAGCTACAGGACTGCAAAGGGCTTTGTACTGCCAGGGTTATTCCCCAGGAGTGGTAAGTAGACTGTTGGTAGGTCTTAACTCTGCACAGTGGAAGCTTTGGGGAATTCCTGTCCAAGAGGATCTGCCCCGTCCATTGCTGCATAGGCCACAAGCAACTCACCTTCTTCAGTGGAGTTACTATTTCCAAAATAAAGGAGAGCCATTTCTCCACCACAGGGTCTCCGGACAAAAAGAAGGAAGGGAATGAGAAGCGTCCTACTCTTCTGAGTGGCTATACATCTAGCCTGGTGTTAGGGGTCAGGGGAGAGAAAGGAGGACCCACAAATATTTGCTCAAGCTCTGCCTTCCCATTACTCGGCCATCACCTCTTCCTGAGTCCCCTGCAGCTTTCCTTGTTCTTCTCAATTGCAATGGTCGATTTTATTCTGTTTGTATTTGTTAGATGGTTTGTACACCATCAAAGCAATGTTCAGCAGCTTACAACCATAAAAATACAAAATAAAGCCATACAACCATCAGACCAATACCAGAAAAACAGTACAGACAGAATCAGATAATAGGAATGGACAAGATCAGCAGCAAGATGAGAGCTGACTGGTGAGCCACAAAGGCAAACAGAAGAGTTCTTATGGCCTTCTGGAATGACAGCAGGGTAGTACCATCTGGACTTCTAGCAATAGGTTGTTCCACAAATCTGGGGCAGTCACTGAGAAGACCTGCCTCTGCTTCCCCCTCCCCCAGTCTCATGGGAGAGGGACCTGCAGGTTCAAGGCAGGTGGATCCTATTTGAGAGAGATGGTCCCAAAGCTATTTGAGAGCCAAGCCATGTAGGTTAAAAACAGTTCTTGGACTTGTACTCAGAAACATGTTGGGAACCCATACAGCACCAGCATATAAGTGTCACATAGCTTTTGTGGGCTTTGCCCACCAGCCCACCAGCACATAGCTCTGCACCAATTGCAGGGTCTGTGCAATCTTCAAAGGAATGGTCATGTGCAGAGCATTGCAATGACCCAAGTGCAGGGTAATTAGGATGTCACTCACCATTGCCAGAATCTCACATTCCACATAAGATGGGCACAGGCTTCTTGTGGCCCCAGTCTCCCCCTGCTGGTCACACTGTAGCCATGACCCAGTAGAAACATCAAGTCAGGGATTTGATCCTTCATGGGTCATGTGATGCCATCCAGAGCCACACAGATGCTGACAGAGAGCCAGCTGGGTTTTGGGCAAGCAGGATCTCCATCTTGCTGGGATTCAGTTTTGACTGGTTTCATCCCATTGAGTCTCCAACAGCCTTAAAATATAGTGGGAAAGGCAATGAAATATGGAGACCTTAGATTTTACCCAGCTACCCATCGCCTTTTCCCAAAAAGTATCTATCTCTAGAGAGAATGAATAATCAAATTGCAAAGCAATTATATGAAGGCAGACTGGATAGGAAGAGGAAGACTGAGGAAGTTGGGTTGGATGAAGCTGATGAGATCCTGAAAAACAAAAAGCATTGCATTATGCTCTGTGTGGTTGTGATGGAAATAAGAATGGTTTACAAGGTTAGAAAGGGAGGGAAAGATTTATTAATGGGTTTTGGTATAAACTAGATTTAGATGACTTTTCTCTTATCTCCTGCTTCCAATTTCCTGTGCTTAATATTTTTCCTCTTCTCTGAGCTTTGCATAATGTCGCTCTCACCAAAAGGGAATAATACAATAGGCGTGTATGTATGGTGGGCTATGTCCCTCTCCAGTTTCAAGTTGGATGATTATAAAGAGCCATCATGTATGAACTGTTTTTTATTTTTAGCTGTCCCAGTAGAAAAAGGGATAGTATGATCTATTGGATAAGGATAATATGGGCTGGATTATCTAATTTATCCATTTTGGGGGAATCTTTTGAGGTAAGATTGTCAGGCCCAGCCCAAGAACAACAGTGAAACAGTCTAGTCAAGTACAGTTCCTTTATTTGCTTACACCTTATAGACAGTATCTTGCCCAACTCCATCTATACTGCAGCAACTAGTGGGTATACCCTGGGAGAGGATTATTCCCTATTCTAGGGAGGGCCTACCGTGAACCTCTTCCTCTTCCCAAAAGACTGTGTTGTCTTTTGTCTCCTTTCCCTTCCTGGAATGCACCCCCTCCTTCCTGATAGCTTTGATCTCTCACAAGGATTGACCAAATGAGAGATTCATCTAGAAGGCCGAGTAGAAATTTGCAGTCATCTTGTTGTTGTTGTTCAGTCGTTAAGTCGTGTCCGACTCTTCGTGACCCCATGAGCAGTCATCTATCCTCCCTAAAAGAACACCTGCCCCTTTAACTTTTCTCTTCATGCCTATTCTTTTTAGATGCTCTCTTCCAAAGAACTGAAAAGTCTCCAGATGGCTGGGATCTTTCTAGGAAGAATCTGTACTACATTTCAAAAGGAAAAAAGACTTGGTACGACGCTGAGAACTTCTGTGTCTCCAGAGATACCCATCTGGCCTCCATCCTAAGTGATGAAGAGCAGGTGCTAATTTTTATTACTATTATTTTTTTCTTTCTGATGGTTGGTTCAACAGAGTACTTTTTCTTTGTGTGCTACTTTTTAAATTACCCTTGCTTATATCTCTCTCTCTATCACCTGTCATTTCTATCTCTGTCTCCCTCTTTTTCATGGACTTCAGGGTTTGCTTTCTATGCAAACAACATAATCTATTCGATAAATGCCACTGTTTTGCAAATTGTCCCAAGTTCAATGGAATTTGAGAAGGAACCCTTCAAGTAGAAGAACCCCAAAAGCAGCAAGCAAGAATTTCTGAATTCTATTGTGCATTGCAGATGATTTTTCTCCTAAAAGTTATAGGGCTTGAATGTTCACCCTAGCTATCTGGCACAATCCCGCTAGTGATATCATCATAAAACCTCCATATAGCGTAAGAATTAGAAAATAAACCAAATAAAATTTAGCATTGTCAGAAGTTCCACATATTCTCAATTGTAAAGCTCTCCTAAAATGTTGTGTCTTTGTGTATTTTTGCAGAATTACCTCACCACTCAGCTCAGTGAGCCTGCCTGGATTGGCCTTTCAGCCGCAAATGAGGAAGTCAATTGGGAATGGTCAGATGGATCCAGAGTAATAACAGAGTGAGTCTGCAAAGCTGCAGTCCCAGAAAGGATGCCCTGACATTGGGCCGCCCACATCCTTTCTTGCCATAGCTGGACAAAATCCTACCACAATCTCTCTCCAGTGGAATCACTCTCTTAAGACACTCTCAGTCAGACTGCTGGATGCACTTTGCAATAGGAATTGGCATTGGCCATCAACCCTGCCCCTGTTTCCGGTGAAATTAGAAGTGGGCAGGAATGTGACAAGAGAGACAGTTTGGTGTTGTGGTTAAAGGCACTGGACTAGAAATCAGGAGACCCTGAGTTCCAATCCCACCTTAGTCACAGATCCAGCTCGGTGTCCTTGGGCCAGTCCCTCTCTCTCAGCCTCAGGAAGAAGGAGGGCAGGGCAACCCACTTTTGACAATGTTGCCAAGAAAACTGCAAGGACTAGTTAGTCCAAGCAGTTGCCAGGAGTCAAGACTGACTTGAAGGCACAAAATTATTATTAACTATTAAGCATTTAGCAATACCCAAGAGACAATGTGGAGAGGAAAATTCCTTTGTCTTTTCAGCGCAAGGTATTTATTGCTATCATTTCCAGTGTGATTTGCAGCTTTTTAAACAACTGTCTAAGAATTCTCAAAGATAACCTCTCCCAGCTATCAGGAAACCTGGTTACTAGCCACCCACTGGAGAATTCCGTATAATTTTGATGCCCAAGATGGCTCATTTGTTCCTAGCAAGGCTGCCTAGTAATGAAGCTCCCTTTCTATGCAGAGATATCAACCATCTCTAATTCACCATAGCCAGCTCCAGATTCCTGCCCACAAAGGGTAGCACACTTAAGGCCCCTGGACTCAGCCCCTTCTTCCTGAGTCTTCCTTTTAGTAATGGGAACCTCCCCCCTCCCCTCCCACCAGGTATTGGTCACTTGGCCATTCCAGACAACCAAAAGCTTCCAGAGAAGGGGACCATGACTGCACTTTCATAAACCCTTCAACTAACTGGCACAACTGGAACCATGCAAACTGTCATGAACTGAGAAACTGGGTTTGTAAGGAAAGTCGGGCTGTTGGAAAAAAATAAAACTGATTAATCTGATTGCTAGAACAACATTAGAGATGAAGATAGGATTGATTAGTATTTTTTCAACACCAAATGCCAAGGGACAAATATCCAACTGCAAAAGGAAATACGATCCTCCATTCCGGCCAAACATTACTATTTCAGAACTGTCTTTCAGCTGTCAGTTGATTTTGCTTCTCTTCTTGATGGATTTATTGCAAGAGATAGAAGCATTTAACACTTGCAGGCCACAATTTGAAAGCCAGACTGGTGTAGTTGTGGAGGTTATTGGACCACGAATGGAGAGGCTGAGGTTCAAGTTGATCCTCAGCCAGAGAAGCTCATGATGACTTGTAATGGCATATGGGAAAGACCTTGGGAGACAGGGCAAAGAGATGCTGCCAAGGGATGGTCAGATAAGAGAGGGCATAGCCTGCAGCTGGATAGTGGGTTGGGCAAGAGGGTCAGAAGGGACCCTCCCTAGTTTCTCAGCTGAAAAGAATTGTACTTTCAGACTTGCAAGATTCTGTTAATGTAGCCTTACAATAAAGTAGAATTAGCTTATCAGGTTGTGTTTCCTGTCTGGTCTACCTGGTAAAGCTGACATGACTTGGGGCAAGGGGTAGGAGGAGGTTACAAATGGAGAGTACAATGTAAGGCACCTTGAAATCCTGGAGAAAAGACAAGATATACATCTCATAAATAAATATTTTTTTTGTCCCAGTAGAATAATTCTTTTAAAAAATTCTTCCAAGAAGGTCACACCTTGTATGACTTCAGCAATCTTACACAAAACCTGAAAAGATTTTGGACCTCTTGCATGAGATGGTGTGATATCTTTGGGGCAGGATAGCTGAATTCATACAAGAATTATATGTTTCCTTCAGCAGTGTAGAGAGTAAGGGAGACAATCTTGACAGAAATATGCAAGAACGGTTACCTAGACCAAGAGGGCTGAAACAGATATCAGGCATTTTGTTCATGATTTTCAGGAAAATATGCATTTTTCTGCAGATTTTTCTCTATGTGTGCATTAAAAAAAAAAGACAATGGCAAATTGCATTAAAAATTTCAGATAAATGCAAATGTTGATGGGAGGCTCAGCTTCAGTTTGCATTTTGCCTTCAAAATATAATATGCATTAGGTTCACATACAATTGTGAACTGTTTTGTCAATGAACTTTTTCCTTTAAAAAAAGCCCAGCTTTTCTTGGTTCCACTAATGAACTTATAGGAAAAGGAATGGGCATGGGGGCAGTGACCAATAAGAAGAGGGGAAGTGGCTTCCTCACCATGGGGCATAGTAGCCCTCTGAATGGAGATGTCTGCTCTGTGAAATGAAGCGTAGCTGGAGAAGTAGTTGAGCTGGCACAAGCCACAAAACACTGCTTCTGACACGTAGCTGGAAAAGATGGCTGGAGATTGCCTTCCTGGTGGGCCGGGGTGGGTAGAGAAAGTGCTTGTTTCTGCCCCCATACTTACTCTGGAGCAAGCTGGTCCCATGGATCAGCCCTCTCTCTCCCATACATGTATTTAAGGAACTCTGGAAGTATCCGTCACAGAGGTAAACCAAATCCCAGTTCTCACCAAAGGTTGCCTACGTGTTCCTTCAGATGCTTGAGAGGTCTTCTGGACCCTTGGTGTAGGCAATCTGGGAAGATCTTAGAACCTCAAATGCCATCCTCAGTGGAAATGAAATGTTATATATTTTTATGCCTTTTAATGCCAAGATGTTAGGATCGGAAGGATAGAGTGGAATTTGGGGAAGTAGAATGTGAGGAAGCCGATGTTAACAAATAATCTGAACCAATCTCTGGTAACAGAACATGGGTTTTTACTGAAGCCTTTGTCCTTGTGTGGTCTTCTGTGTTCTACATCATTGATTCACACTGAAATCTCTTTTCCAGCATTGAAGAAGCAGGTTGGAAAAGCATCAAAGCAACAGAATGGAGCTCTTTTCCATAAAGTGGCAAACTCGATGGGTTAGCTATTTGGTTTTGCGATGAAATAAAGCTTCATTGATTGTTGTTTTTGCATAGGGACTGAGACATCCATATCTTAAGGTATCCAATTTGGATTTGCACCTAATCTGCAAAGGGCATGTTTGGAGTGGTGGCAAGGGATGTTATTCCAGCATTTCCCTCCATCAGCACAAGGTTTTTCAATTCCAACACAGATGTTTGTTGGGCTTGGTGCACCTGGTTTCCAGAAACTAAAGAAAGGAAAAAAGAAAAATAAACAACTGATCAGTCCAGAATTCAAGCCAACGCTCCATCTTCTCTAATGGACACCCCTTTCGACCATTACTCTATTAAATTGGGGGTTACTTGTTTTGTCAATTGGCCATTTGGTGTCCTTTTTCATTTTAGTGTGTGTGCATGTGTTAAATGAATTCCAGTTGAGTTGCATTATAATTACTGTCTATTCTGACCTCTGTTTTATCCCACAGCCATCTAGGCCTTTCCTATTACTAAGATTTTGTGACTTTTCTTTCGGATACCCTTTCTCCTTCACATAACAGGGTCATCACCAGAGTTAGCTGTATGAGCACTCTTATTCAGGAATGTCTTTGCCCACCACACTGAGGGAAACTGAATCAATTGCCCATATCCTCTTTATGTTTGATTATGTGCCATCATGTTGATGTCAACTCTTACCAACCCATAAATTGATTTTCTCCCTGATGATCTGTCCCTAACCTAGTCCTTCAGGGCTTCCAATAGTGCCCCCAGAATGAAGTGGATGTGCAGTCATCCAGCAACATCCAGCTTTCCACAGAAACTTTGCCATTACACTGTCTGGTTGTCTATGCTCTGGCAGAGTTAGAAGAACATCCCTCGTTGAGGTGCCCATCCTTCTCCTTCCTCTCTGGCATCAGTACCAGATTTGGGAAAAGATAAGAGAATGATGGAGTTAAGAAGATTTTTCCAGATTCACACTTCTTCACTCTGACAAATTGCTTAATGGCAGATAGATATATTAGTGCCAATGGCAATTACTGTTCCAAGGCAGGGGGTGTCTATAACTGCCTTTCATTAAATCTCAACTTTTTTTTTAAATGTAAAGTAGGTGCATAAAAATGGGTGGAGAAGGCACTGTGTATATAATCTTGAACTCCTGAATGAAAGGTAAGATATAAATCAAATAATATGTACATATAATTTCTGGATTCCAACAAGACTGAGCTTAAAAAAATAGTATGATAAGAAGAACACAAATTTGGTGCATAACAAATGCAAGCACGCTTCTCTGTGCCTTCCTAAGAAAGGTTATGCAAAGGTGTGTTATAGATGAGCTTTTCTCAGAAACAGACTCACCTTGTGGTCAAAGTTGAGTTGTCATGAATCCACGTCCATTTCTTCTTCTTCTTCTGAAGTCCAATCCATGCACCAGTTCTTGATAATCTAGACATAAATTCTGCAAAGTCCTGTAAAAGAGACAGAACTATTTATTTGTTTACTAGATGTTTAAATCACCCTAAGCATAAAACTCTCAGCAGCTTACCAAATCTTAATAGAGTATGGTAGAAAAAAACTGATATGATGACAGTCAGAAAGGATCCAACAATCATTTTATTAAAGCTAGCAGATTATGGTGAGTCACTGGTCTCTTGCTACCAAAAGTGAAGAGGCCCAAAGATTTGGCAAAAGAGTTCTTATTTGGGGTTACAAAGATTAAAGATGAGCATATATATTTATTTGACCACTGGCAAAGAGTTTACAGCTGATAAGGGGTACAGATGGGTACATAGGAATCTAGGGTCCTCTGTGCCTGGAAGGAACAGTATCTTGCAATGCAGGATACTTAGCCTTTGAAAAGTGCTGATAGTTATTCTAACAGTTTGATCCTGTATCCCACTGCGAAGGGAGAGAATGGTGAATCCACCCTTTATCAACATGCTTGAGAATGGTTATGGAGGCATACAGTTTGTGAATCAAAGGACATTCATTAACGTTACAAAGGTTATGAGATCGGGGAGGAAGTATGTCACAAGAGAGTATGAATGTTAGCACTGTTCTTCCCCGGCTTCTGCCTGGCCTATACAGTCAGGCAAAGTTGGCATGTTCTAGGTCCCATTCGTCAAGCAGCGTCACCTGATGGGACCTAGGAAGGAGGCCTTCTCTGTCTTCACATGCCCTCTGGAACACCATCCCCTCCCTCCAAAGTGCATCTGGTCCCCACCTGGCCATGCTCATAAGAGCTCTGAAATCCTGACTCTTTTCCCGGAATTTGGTTGTCTTAAATGGTTGTTATATTCTGGTGTTTGGGGGTTTTAATTGCATTGTATGATTGGACATATTTCTCAGAAAATGAGAACTGGAAAAAAATGAAAATTTTTCAAGACCAAGAAACAAAGAGGAATGAATAACGAGAAATAAAGATTCATTTATCCACCTCAGGATACAAATATCCATTTGCTCGATTGCAGGGAAGCTTCCTATAAGCTAAACATGTTTATCTGATTGTATGAATAAGGATAATTAAAATTATGGAGGGCAAGGCGAGGAATAGGATTTGTCCCAGAGGCGAGATCATTTTCCCCCAGTGAGATACTGGGGCTGTGGGGCCAACACCCACACAACATTGAATTGTTGACTCCTAGGGAGAAGCCCCTTCAGTGATCCAGAGACTCTTTCAAGAGGCATTTCCTTGAGATCAGATGCTGGAAGATTATGCCATGCATGGAGCACCTTGAAGTACGGTGACCTATGGGACCAGTTTTGCGAGTGGAAGAAAGTGTGGGGTTGCCAAAGCAGGGACCTCCTTGAGGGAGTTTGGCTCTTGAGGCCAAGGGTGTGAAAAGGAGAGGTTTGGGGAAAGGTGAAGGTCTTCTTCAACTTCCGTGTGCTGGTTGGGCTAGCCTGGGGGCCTATATTAAGACCGTGAGGTTCCCCCTCCACTCCTCTAACTAGTCTTCTGTATTCTGAAATCGTAGAATTGGAAGGGTTCTTGAGAATCTCCTTTCCATCCCCTGCTTGGAGCAGGAATCTAAAGTGA